AGCAACCGGTCGAGATACTCGTTGGCGCTCTTGCAGTCGTGGTAACCCGTGTAGGTCGGAACGTCTACCTTGACACGTGGTCGCACATTTTGCACGGGGGCCTGCGCTGTGTTCTGCAGGGCGCTCGCGAGGCTTTGCATAACTGACAGCGCATTCTGTAAGAGTACCTCGCTCGAGGGCAAACTGTTGCCCGAAGACTCGCCTATAGTTGAGGCGCGTGTCGTAACTTGTGGCGGCGCCTCTCTGTTCGCGTCGCGAGATGCCGGAGCGCCATGCGGGCCGCTCTCCGTCGTAGGCCTACTCTCTGCTAACGCGGTCTCTGCACCCTCCTGATCATCCCGCGTGAAACGACCAAGCTCTACGCTGTCGGAAAGTCCTAACAGTACCCCCGCGTTAGCCAAAGGATCGCCACTCTGCGACGCGACATCCGACAACATTGACAAATCTTGGAATTCCGACATGCCTATTATCCTACGTGTGGAAGAGCGCCCTGGCACTTGCTCGCGTCCACAGAACTAGCCGCGTTGCCAAATTCGTTACGTTGGGCGCCAGATGTTGGGAGACCGTCCTATGTACGGCTGACGCAGAAGCCTATAGCTAATGTTTCAGCCGCACACAGTCGTTCCGTGCACGGTTAACGTCCCCCAACCGTAGCTTGCCTCATTGCAGCTACTACTACGGGTTCGGGCGAATGAGGCAACTGGCCAGATCAACAACAAACACTTTATTGCTAAGCGTTAGCAATCGCGCGTCACTGTCGCGGGGAGATACTACAGATAACAAAGGTGTTGACGCTTACACCTCGGTCGTGGACGTCCTCGGCTCGCAGGAGGGGTTGCGGGTTCGTCCTCCTGGGATGGTCGCTGGTGTCAGAGCGCGAGCGCCCGTTTGCCCGCTCGTTTTGTTCCCCGACCCGATTTCCCTCTCCCTGACGAGAATGGTACCTTTCCTCGCTGAGGGAGAGGGGAACCTGTTCCTGGCGCCGGGAAAGGGGGGGGGAATCGCACGCGCCGGCCGTGGGGGAAGGGGTCCCCGCAACCGTGCGCGTGCGCTGCCCTAAAAGGGAAAGGGAGGCTGGGCGCACCTGCTCCCCACAATCTCCATCCATGAAGAACCACCTTGGGAATTCTCATGGCTCACAGTGGATCGGGTTTTGAAGCGGGTTAGGGCTCAAACAGTCACTGGTCCCGACAGTATACCGGTGCACATATTTAGAAGTGCTTGGAAGAGAACTTGAGGAAACAACTCGAAGGCATGCCCAACTTGAAGGTTTGTCTATCTCCAAAGAATGGCATGAAGGCAAGGTGATTCTGATCCCTGAAAGGGGTAGTGATGCAAGAAACATCCAAAACTACAGGCCAATAATGGCCACCAGTGTTACGTATTGTTTGTTCATTGGGTTGATCAAAGCATAGATGAGTGGCTGTGGGGAGACCAAGGAATTACTGACCGAGCTCCATAATGGCCTCAGACCAGGCAGACGGTTGGATGTCAATCTGTTCATCATCATGCAGTGTGCATAATTAGCCCAAAAAGAGGGGAGGACACTGTTGTACTGTTTTCTGGATGTAGAGAAAGCACACAACAATGGGCCACATGGTCCTCTCTTCGCTGGCCTACCTTACCTTGGACTACCACAAGTGCTAATTTCCACTATAAGGTCAATGTGCAGTGACAACGTAGTGAGTGTGCAGTTGGGTGCCATAATCACTGGCCCAATTTATGTAAACAAGGGTCTGAGGCAGGACTGCCCATTGTCACCATTTCTGTACACTCTGTAGCATCCAGGATAGAGCGTGCCTTGCCAAACTCAAAACCTCAGGTTCAGCATGCGTTTCAGCAGTAGTTCTAGCAAAAACTACCACCTGCTTGGTGTGGCATTTGCAGATCTAATTATAAAAGAGAGTAACCAGGAGTTGTAATCTCTCCTCAACATCTGCTAGACAGAAGTTGTGAGTCTGACACTCTGGTTAAGTATTACGAAATCAGCAGCAGTCCGTCTAGCAGGAGGAAGTACAGACGTTACGGCGTTTGGGAGTAGAACCACCGACTGCACGCAGCGACTACAGGTACCCTTGTGTTAGTGTGTGGATGCAGCAAAATACAGTGTACACAAGACCATGATTCGACAGACGGCGCTGCTGGCTCAATGAATCTTTCAGTGTCCATGCCTCTGGGGTTACAAGCTCTTCCAAATAATTCGTGAACACCTATAGAGAATGGTTCATGTGCCAGATTTGAATTTTTGAAACGTAGTTGTGTGCATCTACAACGACACCAGAGTGGTTCGAGCATCATCAAAGACAGCTCACTATGGTATGCTGTCAGGCTAGTTTGTGTGTAGCTGCGTAGAAGATCGTTAGCGCTGAACTTGAAAGAAAATGAAGGAAGAGACACCGACAAGCGCACACATTGTCTTTGTCTCTCCTTTCGTCTTCTTTCAAGTTTTGCGCCAACATTGTTCGACACAGCAGAGACAGGTCAGCTGTGCAGTGCTCAGTTGCTAACGAGGTGGTGCAGGGGGATATTGGCTGGTCCAGCTTTGAGGCATGGAAGGCCACCAGCAAGATTGCCTACCAGGGTCGCCTCATGCTCATGCGACATACTCGACATACTCGATGGGTGCGCCAGTTGATTGAGCATCTTTCGGCAGCATGCATGAAGATGAACAGGACGTGAAAAATGCACCAGCCGCAGAAAAAGTATGGCTTTTTCAAAGAAGCTATCCCTACCAAAACTGCGGCTAAGTGGGCGGTCGAGGTCTGACCGCAAATCAGGGAAGTGGAAGACACTCGATAGAGAAATGCTATGGAGGCCTAGTCTACCCTCGAGTGCTACAGGAACCATAAAGAGAGATCAGACGACAAGAGTTGTGGCAGCAACGACCTGTTCGGGGCGAAAGCTGGGGCTCTTCGCACTCATCTGGGGCTTTTCGCATAAGGTTTGATGACATCATCTATCAGCCTGTGCAGAAGTTGCGGTGTAGAGACGGAGACACAATAACATTTTGTTCTACGCTGCAGGAGCTTTCCAACCGCCCCGGTAAAGGGCACAACGCTCACACAGAAGCTCGGGTTTCTGAATGAAGATGACGACAGTGACAATGAGGGGGGACACAACACACGGTTGCAGTTATGAAAAGGCGACTTTTCGAGCGGTACGGTTAAGCCGAATTGAGGATCTTGGCTGCTCTGTACGTGTCTCCTGCGTTTGTCGTGTGTGGATTTTTCTTGTTTGTTGATTCATTTTTTTTTTAGGACTCTGAGTGTGTTCCTCCATTGCAAAGGGCACGCCACCACTACATCATGATCATCATAACCTGTGTCCGGCTTTTCGAAGCAAAAAAAAAAAAAAAACGGACAGTCAATGGCGTGTGAAAAACGTCCGCGTAGTCTCGAACCATGGCAGCACATGCCAAGCAAGAAATATAAGAAAAGTAACCAAAAAGGCACGTGTTTTATTACAGCCGCACCGCAAACACACTCAGATGTGCAAGTGACTTCAGGCGTGCCACCTTGCAAAGCATAAAAAAAAGTGACAACGGAAAGAAGAAACATCAGTTTCCCGATGCATGACATTACATGCCAAGCAAGAAAAGTTATTGAAAAAGGCACGCGTTTTAAACCTGCTGAATCGCGAACATGCTGGGGTGCGCTAGTGGTTGCTGGATCGCTGCTTCGTGAAGAAAAAAAAAAAAAATGGAGACGTATTGGCGCCTGAAAAATACTTTACGTATTCCTAAAGTGTGGCAGCACATGTAAAGCAAAAGAAATGATTGAAAAAGGTGAGCGTTTTAAGTATCGAGGCAGTGCTGTGCATGCATAGCCATTGGTACTGTCGTACATATATGGTGCAAACTTCAAAAGGGTTAGGCCCTGTATTTTAATGACTATCCATAAACCTGACTCAAGTACTTTGCCATACAATTCAAACGCCTTGCATATAATGAAAGAACAACCATGGTAAGAGTAGTATTTTTTTTAATATTAAAGAAAAGGCGTAGCAGAGTCGCAGCGAAAGCTAAAAAAGTGGCCTTGCAGGGCCTTTTCTAAACACTGATTGGGTAACTGCTGCAAGCACACTTGCGGGTACCTACTACAATAATAATAGTCATAATTTGTCGGTCATCTTTTCTCATTATTCTGAGAAGCCTGGTACCCACTAAACACTTGCTAGGAATTTCGTGCCAATCGTTTATGCACTGGCTGATGACAATGAGCATTTATGCCTGAAGTGGGTATGCACTACAGTTAATAGGGGATAAAGAGCAATTTTTTGCAATGAGTTGGAGTATTGGACGACCCACTTGTTACGTTATTTACAATGTGTGACGCCTGGTTGTTCCTTTACTGTTCTAAAATGCTTTATTACTCATATTAATGCGGTGCCTTTCACAACATCAAGCCTGCTTAAGGCAATTTCACAAACAAGTCCCAAGCACCAGCGTGGTTCAGAGGTAGAATAGTGGGTTGGCAGGCAGCAGACCCGGGTTTGAGGCGCACTGTGTCCTTGGTGTTTTTTATTTACTGATTTTTTTTTTCCTTTCGCTACTGGTTACGTACACCAGTGGCGGCGGACAACTATGGCGCTGCGCGTGACCCATGTTCTGTTTTTATAACTGCTTTCGCTGTAATAATGTGTTTCGAACATACACAGCTTGGGCTAGTGTAACGAAAGCATCTTCGAATGACTAATACACGAAATGTAAAGGAACTCAGGGTTTCTATGTAAAATGAAAGAGCAGCATATACTTCAAGTGTATTGCTGGGTAAGGTTAGGTGGCTTGAGTGCATGGAAATAAAGGAACTCGGTGGAGTTCCTTGAAAAACGAAAGAGCAGCAGATTGAGATATGTTTGACTGATAACTGCTCCAAGCGGATGATTCCAGAAGTTCGGCAGAAATGCATTTGTCAGCTTTGTCTGGTAATCGGAGCCTGTTAATGCCGTTTCTGCTCAAGCGAGGCCCTTGGATGACTCTGAAGTTGCCTGCCTCGTTTCAGGATTCTTTCAAGTGCTCAGCTTGTGGCAAGTTGTTTGCCTGCCGGAAAGAAGCCTCACATCACATTCTTTATGCCCACTATAACCTGGTGAGTTTGCTTTCTTTTCACACTGGTTTAAAAACTAGCCTTGATGTAAAAATTGTTTTTAGAAAGTAGAGGCCTTATGCTCAAAAGCAAGGCAACCTTTTTAGAGTGGATAGCTATAAGGATTTCTCCCCATTTTCAACACACTGCTGCATTGCTACGCAACACTCTCTAGACTGCTGCTTTTTGCAACTGCGCAGGGTTTGTGTGGCTCCTTAAAAATCCTTGAAGTTGAAAATGGCTTGAATGCCTTTGATGATTGTGTTGCTTGAAAGTGGTTTTGCAAAACCCTCAAATTTCATCTGTGGTGCCTTATGTCTGTGGAATTTATTTCTTTATTCGTTACATAGTTTAAACCAAAGACACACTGCCAATAGATATCGTTGGGTATTGCTAGTTTTTGGTAGCCTCGTTATTCCCAATGCCGTTCTGGTGAAACAGGTCAGGTTGTGTCTCCCGCTCACTAATGACGGGGGATTATCGAGGGGAGAAAGGGGCATTGTATTTGCATATTGTTTGCTCAAAGGTGCCTAGTAAGACATGCATGGTTTCGTGATTCTTCTGTGTTTGAAAAAAATATCGTAGCGGATTACCTAGTATTTTATAGGAGCCTATAAAAGCAAATATGCAAATGTATCAAAGTATTTTAATATACCATTTACAAGTATCTGCATCCCCCCCAAGTCTTGCTTGATTATCGTGTATCGTGTTGTGATACACTTTCAAAGTACCTTTGCCCAGCCCCAGCATTTTTTTGAGTTAATACATTTGCAATTATAGCTAAGCCTGAGAGGCAGTTTTGCCGTATAACGACAATGTAGTGAGGTGACGCATTTGGAAAGCATGAAACGTTTTTTTTTTAATTGGACGTTAACAGTGTCTGAAAAATTCGACCGGAGCGAAACATAAACATGAAAGTAGCTTTGCCGCAATACGAGAGTATAATGAGGTGAAGCCTAATGAAAATATGGGGTGGTATTTTTTATCGAACTGTATTTGTAGAAGACAGACACATTGTGCAAGTTGGTGAGGCTCCATAATAAAAATACGAAACAGTGCTTACACCCAGAATGAAAGAAGGAAATGGGAAATGACACACATGACACTGAACTTGAAACTAGTTTATTGAAAAACAACATATACGGTTTTTTAAGGCTTATTCTCATGGTTAATGTTCATATACTTGTCAAAACTTAAATCACGCCTGTTTAACAAGGCCATTTATTTTGATGATAACAACAGGGAAATTTGGCTGACACTTTCACTTGTTTTTCTCGATAGTATGCGGAATGCCTTGTTACTGCTCTTCTTTGACTGTCATTATACACAAACAAGATTTCTTTGTCATCGAGAAATGGCACTCCCTGACACTCAGAACAATGCTTAGACAAGTTTGTTGATTTCTTTTCTAATGAGTTTTCGCACTCAAGAATTCTCACATTAATGCACCGGCCTGTTTTTCATATGCAGGTAAATCTCGATACAATGAATCTCAACGAACCACTAAAGATCATTTATTCGCTATCTTCAAAAGTCATTGTAAAGAAAGTATGAAAAATTTGCTCAGAAATTGTAAGTGCAACCACGTGAGTCTCCTACCTCTGCTATTTATGTATTTGCGACCTCCAATGAGCGTAAAAAAAAAGAATTCAAACTATTACAGAACAAGTGTAAGTTTATTTGAGGAAGAGTGTAATCTATCCTGATGTGGGCAGCTCGACTGCTGAAAGAACTCTTGAGCAATACCAATCCCTAACACATGGTGTTTAGCGTCATCTTTACTCTTGTTGCCATTTTCTTGTCTGGCTTGTGGTGTGTTCGGTTGACAGCTAAGCTCACAAGCGCGCTTCAATCAATGTCGCACTGTGGGTAGTGCATTAGTGAAGTATGCATGGGTAGTCATTGGCGACTCCATTCCACTGTTGTAACATTACTTTCGTGCTGCTTCTGGTGCTCACTGTGACCATCTATCAAAAGGCTCGAAGTGCCCTGCTTGAGGAAAGCAAAGGCAAAGGGGTGAAGCCTGACGTGAAAAACAAGTACTAGGCGATGATGATGGCGATAAGGCTATCGTCAGTGCTAGAGCACATTTTCATAGGGTGGGTACATAAAAAAAAATATGTGGGCATTTTGATAATGATTATTGTGGCAGGTATGAAACTGGGCATTTATTTTTACAGCCGCTAGTTACTTTTTAAAATTGCTATTCATTATTTTTAAGTGTTGTGAATATATAAGGGGGATAAAATTCTATACGTTATTCTGAAACATTCGGTGTTCTGAAATTTATAGTAGTGAAATATTTTTACTTAATTTAATGAATATTTGGAGGGGGATTTATGAAAAAGTTATTGATCTGAAAAAAATCGTTAGTCTGAGGTTTGCTATAACGAGATTTGACTATATTTGTATGGCCACAGGAAAAAAGAAATTTTACACGGAACAAACTTGGTCACATGTTTTATTAGACAGGCTTTGTTTATTTCAGTGATGAAAGTGCTGCTACAAAAAAGAAATGCTGCTCTAATCATTAATTTTTGTTAGTACAGTGCAGTCCACTTATAACAATACCACATATAATGATATATTGGTTATAACGGTGGGTTGACTTAACAGTTTCATTTTTTGCTTTGGAAGTAAAAACAGTGCAAAAATATAGACAAACACAGAGGAAAAGACGACACCGCGCTTTTTGCTTTTTCACGGTTGTTACACACGTGTTGCTGTTCAACATGATTAGGCATGTTTCGTACCTTGTTTGCTATGATGTACAGACGCCTTTGGTTTGCCATGTGACCGGGCCGCATGCTTGATATATGTGGGTGAGTCTTCCAATAAAGTTTAGTTGCGAGTAAGCGCGATGTCGTCTCATCCTTTGTCCTTGTCTATATTTTTGCACTGTTTTTGCTTCCCAAGTATGAACTGCCAACTAGCCCAACTTTCACTATTATTTCATTCTTTGCATTGGGGCTATGAGGGAAAAAACCATATATAATATGTAATCCACCGCATATCGGATGCAATGATAAAAATTATGCCATTTGGACTGCATGTTCCAGAATAATTGTAACATTCACATCGATATGTTCCACTGAAACGAATGCGACAAGATGAAAACTTGGGGTAGGTGAGTTTGTAGCGCTTGTCTACTAGCTGACAATTAGAGCACTGATTATAAATGAAATGCGTGATTGCAAGCTTTTTCACTTTCATTGTTACTGTTTACCCAACATATACTGTGCATTCTGAGCCAATTCTGCGCAGGTAAAATTTAATTGCAGTTGGCCTTTAAGTTGCTTTAGTTGCGTCATCTCGGCGATAAATGTAAAATACCGGATAAACAGGAGGTGCTTTTGTTGCTTTATCCGGTAGAACGTGTCTTGAAGGTGATCTGGAAAGTTGTGGCCTAAAGCTAAACCCATCACGAGGAAAAAAAAGAGGGGAGAAGTACGTTGCAGTGTTTTAAAATTTTTTGGGTTTGCTCTAACCCATGCAGAACGCTGACTGAGAGGGCTTACCCACTCCCAAGCCACTCAGATTTGAACTTTTTGTGTTCATGGATGGCAGCACTTACAGACCATAAAAAGGTGGAAAGTTCTAGCATGCTCTAAGGGTCTAAATCTTACCAGGACACTGAAATTTCACTTCTTCTTTTGCTGCAAGCTTGCCAGAGACTACTTGATAATGCGGTAACCACTTTGTCTGAAAACATTCCTGAGTTTTCTGCCTGAACCGTAGCGAATGATTCCGCGAGGTCAAAACTATTTATGGCCTTGAGATCCACCAACTTCTCACTTTTTTCACACACCTGTAGCTTCAACAATGATAATTATGTGGCTTGACAGCTGTCTGCTGCTTATTGTGAGAGGCTGTTGCACATTTTCAGCAGCCTTTTAAATAAGATGCAAAAAGATGCTGTTTGCTTCCTCGGACTAGGGGGACAAGGATCGGCGCCTTCAGTTGTGGTATGCATAGTGGACGATGTTACGCTCATTCACGCCCTGCTTGCGAGGTGTCCTACCCCGTGCCAATGTGCACATAGCTTGTAAAGGCTATGATGGTTGTGTCCACAAATTGGTCACGCTGACCTCCACCTGCTGGATGACGCCAGTATTATCTTGAGTATTCCTCGTAATACGTGAGGCCTTTTCACGAGAGGAAAAACAAACGTCGCCACGTAGCACCGCACACGCGAGTACAAAGGCCAACTTTACAGCCTTGAAGGAGCGTTTTCGGGAGATCATGCATTTTCAGAGCCCGCACGTGGAACACCTTTCGTTTTGTGAATTCATCTCGATGGGGTCTGGTACTTGTTGTTGAACAGCCAGAGCAGTATTGTAAACACGAAGTGAGTGCTGCCACCAGTAAAATTTTGTTTGCTTTTGAAAAGATGGCAGACAACCGGCGCGGCTACTTGAAGTACGCTGAGCTAGCACAGTTCAGCGTGCAGCGAAAAATGGTTTCTCTAGGAGGCGCTTAACATAACCAGAGTTCATTCCTGTGTACAACTGTGCTGATCAACCGAGTTACTGGGTGATACACACCCGAGAAATCGCTACAGTGCATTGGATTTTCGTTTTTTTTTAAATAAAAATAAGCTATATACAGTGTGAATGTAAATAACTACGTGCGTACCATCTCGTATTTAGGCTGTTGCCGTTACTCTGTATCATAGAGGATGCACCATCGAAAGGCGTGTACACAGATGTTGAGTTTGTGTTGTACGGTGATACATTTTGTCAGTGCCAAGGGAAATGCATGGCAGCCAGCAGAAGCGGCAAGGATTTATTGCAAATATATTTTATGGGAAACAGCTCAATCCTGTCTCTTAGGATAAATGTTGCCAGTCTAATTCCCTGTCCTGTTTTCTTACATTTTTCTTCCTCGTTCTCAGTTCCACCACAAATATTTCGTTATGCGAAATTACTTTGTCAAGAACAGGACGATGCCCTGTTCTTGACTTTTGCATAACTTCTTGACGAAGTACTTTTGCGAAGTACCTT